GTCAGCCTTCTTTATGGTCCAGCTCTCACTTCCATACATCGCTACTGAAAATACCATAGATTTGACTATGCGGACCTTTGTCCAAAAGGTGATGTCTCTGCTTTTTACGATGCTGTCTAGGTTTGTTACCGCTTTCCTCCCAAGAAGCAGGGGTCTTTTAATTTCGCGGCTGCTGTCACCATCTGCAGTGATCATGGAGCCCAAGAAAGTAAAATCTGCCTTCATATCTTCCCCTTCTATTTGCCAGGAGGTGATGGGACCAGTGGCCATGATTTTAGTATTTTCAATGTTGACATATCTATATATATAACCCCAAAACTAACGGGTTATAATAAATCCCCAGCATCTCCATCCAGCATAGGCAGCAGTCAGGGACAATGCCAGGGTAGCCCAACCACTTCTGGGGGTGACATTCTGTCTGATGTTGTGTCTTATCACAAGGGAAGTATGGACAATTGAAATATTCATCTGAAAACATTTAGAAGGATATTATTTCTCCCTCCTAAATAGCCACCTTCTGTTGTCAGGAAGAGCTACGTGGTCTTAAAAGACAAGCATAGCATAAACCAAATGAGGAAGAAGGGTGTATATCTCACAGCAACGCATTCTGCTTTTCCAGCAAATCACCTCCTTGAAGTGTGGCTGATAACAGTTCCTTAAATGCTTTTAGGATGCCATCTGCAGAATACAAAGCAAGCCTGGCAGTAAAACTACTGAAAGCAAAACTAAAGAGAGACAGTGTGAGAAGAGATTCACAACTCTAGGTAATCAGAAATATCAGGGTCTCTTTTTATAGATTTTTTTCCCCCGCAAGGACGTGATAGAAGATAATGTTTGTTCCCACTTTCAGTCTATTTTCAGTGGGGGAAGAAAAGGCCAAATACACTAATGCGGAAGAAAAACAAAACAAAGCAAAACTTAAACTGAGTGTTCCAAAAGAGATTGTAAAACACTCAAGGCCATACTAGAATAAGAAATGAAAGAATAAATGGGCATTAATCTTTTCCTTTTTTAAAATTGCCTTGATAAAGGAGCAGTCAGCTCTATCTATCTATCTATCTATCTATCTATCTATCTATCTATCTATCTATCTATCTATCTATCTATCTATCTATCTATCTATCTATCTATCTATCTATCTATCTATCTATCCATCTATCCATCCATCCATCCATCCATCCATCCATCCATCCATCCATCCATCCATCCATCCATCTATCCATCTATCTATCTATCAAGTGCACTTCAGTCCCTTAGTCCTGAACAGAAATAAATGTGGGATGCTGGGATACTATCGTAACAGGATCATCTCTAAGGATAAACCTTTAATTATAATTGTTTCATTCTAAGAACTGACAGGGAGAGACTGCCTGCCTGCCTGCCTGCCTGTCTGTCCTTAAAAGGAATCAAGGGTACAAAAAGTATCCCTTATGTTTCATTTGTCATTTTAACAATGATACCAAATTGGAATGGGTTTCCATTCCATACTATCTATCTATCTATCTATCTATCTATCTATCTATCTATCTATCTATCTATCTATCTATCTATCTATCTATCTATCCTTAAAAGGAATCAAGGGTACAAAGAGTATCCCTTATGTTTCCTTTGTCATTTTAACAATGATACCGAATTGGAATGGGTTTGCAAACCATTCCATAGTCAAATACAGACATATTAGTAATCATTGTCGTGTTTACTTTTACATGGAGATGAATCACGTCAAGTATTTGGTGGCCACTCACAGGCCATTTTCAAAACCAGATAGTCAAATTCTTTCCAGTGGTACTTGTATCTCCTCACATGGGTGCTTCTTGGGTGGAAAGATCATCAAACAGAGACTATGATTGCCCAGAAGACCCTGCCCCTCAAATGTGCTCATGTTCTTCAAGGATGCACTTTCTGTGTCCCCTTAATGTTAGCTGCCCCAAAATGCTCTTGATGCTGCCTGTTATTAAGCTACAATTATCTGATATGTTCATTAATTGCAGTGTGATGCTTCTGACAGAAAGAAAGAAGAGAGGTCAACCGAAGCAAATTTCTTAATATGCTTTCCCGATCTTATTGTCTGTATTGCTCTCTTCCTTATCCTCATAAGGATGAAGGGCACTCAACTTTTTATCCTCTCTTTGCCATTGGTCTAATAGTGCTTAATCATCATCAACAACAACATCATCAGGTGCTGTCCAGATAATTCTGACTTAGGGTGACCCTTTTCAGGGTTTTCTAGGTACTGTAGAGAGTTCTCAGAATTGCTTTACCACCCCCTTCCTCTAAGGGTGTTCTGGGACTGTGCCGCTTGCCCAAGGCTACACAGGCTGGCTCTACTCACAGGAAGCACAATGGGGAATTGAACTCCCAACTTCTGGTTCCTCAGCCAAATATCTAAACCACTGAAGCATCTGATAGTGCTCACCCCTCTCAAAAAAAAAAAGAACCTAAATTACTTAGAAATCATGAACGTTACCTGCACAATAAGTTATATCAATATAGCTAAAGGTAAAGGTTCCCCTTGACAATCTGTCCAGTCATGTCTGACTCTAGTGGGAAGTGCTCATCCCCGTCTCCAAGCCGTAGAGCCAGCGTTTTGTCCAAAAACCATTTCTGTGGTCACGTGGCCGTGACTTTCCCACCGTGACTTTCCCACCGTGGTGGCACCAATTTATCTACTCGTATTTTTACATGCTTTCTAATTGCTAGGTTGGCAGGAGCTGGGACAAGCGACGGGGGCTCCCTCCGTCACGTGGATTCGATCTTATGACTGCAGGTCTTCTGACCTGGCAGCACAGAGGCTCCTGCGGTTTAACCCGTAGTCCTAATATCAATATATGTAAATATCATTAATTAAATACCCTGAGAATTGTATCTGATGAAGTGGGTTGCAGTCTATGAAGTGCTCATGGCAGACAAGACTTATTCATACAGAAGTGCTATGACACTCATTGCTTTTCTATATCACTTACACCAGTCACCTTTCTCCCCTGGGCAAATATTTTGAGAGTTCAAATTGTACTTTCAGAGCATAAATTTTAGATTGGGTGGGGGACATAAAATGTAAAGAAAAGCCGTGCACAGACCAGCATTTTGTTACCACAGTTACTGATCAGATGTCTTTGGAAAACCAAGGAGGACATCAATGTGACAGTGATCGACTGCTGATGTTCTCCTGCACCTGCTATACAATGGCATGCTGCTTGCGGTTTGGGAGGTAATATATCGGCAGCACCCTAAATACTGACTTGATTTGTTCTCACTCAGCAAACAAGGACAGCCCCTTCCCCCCAAAAATCCCTTCACTGCAAGATGTTCGGGAGGGATCTACCAGAGAGAAATTACATGCATTTTCATGTTCAATCTTTGTGCATTTCTGTAATACGCTCAAAACAGAAACATGGAGCAGCTGTTGCTTTCTATTGTGGACTAGTAAAAGGAGTAGTATGAGATGGGTTGCTTGTGTCTTGATGACCAGTTAGTTTGCCCTTTTTGTCCTTGCTTTGTGTCGGGAGGGATCTACCAGAGAAAAATTACATGCATTTTCATGATCGATCTTTGTGCATTTCTGTAATACGCTCAAAACAGAAACATGGAGCAGCTGTTGCTTTCTATTGTGGACTAGTAAAAGGAGTAGTATGAGATGGGTTGCTTGTGTCTTGATGACCAGTTACCTTGCCTTTTTTGTCCTTGCTTTGTGTCTGCTGTTGGCTTAACAGAAGAAAAAGGATCTAGCTTTGCACAGTAGAGCACGTTACCATAGTCTTTCGAGACTGAAGGATGCCTAACAAACTGTGTCTGCTGTTGGCTTAATGGAAGAAAAAGGATCTAGCTTTGCACAGAGACAAGACATTTGCACAAAGCATACTTTGAAAACAATTGCAGAAACCTCAACAACAACAACAAGAACAACAACAAAATCTGGGATGTGGCTTTGGCACTGGAGGCAAAATACCTCACTCCTCAAAGTGCTGTCTTGCACTGTCCTTTAAAACCTCACCATGACAAGACTTCCTTACATTCGTGTATCTATAGCCATGGTGACTGGTGGCTACTGGCAGCTTTATCCTCCTACTGACAGCTTTATCTTCCTTTCTTTACGCACTACAGATTCCACCCCCCCAGTCAGTGTCATTAGATGGCCCCCATAGGTTTCTGTTAATGGAAGAAGTGTAGAAGATCTCCTGATCTACATCTCCTTTTTCCTCCATCCTTTCCAGCTCTTTAAATATCCCTTTCCAGATGTGGCAAAGCACCGACAGTATCTTTTCTGTTACCTCAATGATGAATTGATTGACAGAGTTCCTCTCAAAAAACATCCTTCGCTCCCTCTTGTTTTGGCACAAGGATTTCTGTCGCGTGCAAATCCCATCGGCTCCGTACAGGACAACGAAGACATCTGCATCTGTACCAGCTCCAAAAATGTCACTTGTATAAACAGTGACCTCATAGGGAACAACTGTCCAAGTACAGAGAAGGGGGAAAATAAAATAAAATAAAAAACAGCACTGGCAAAAGGAGATAGGATTGACCAGAAGAGAGCTTCTCCTCAGACGGACGAGGCTGAGAATACTGAGCTTCTAAACAGAACAGTCATTGCATTGGCGGTGTGTACACTCAGCGCCTAACTAGACAAGGCAACTATGATAGACTTAGAAATGTTGACCGACATGTGTTTGTTGCTACATCTTGGACTGCCTTTTCCTAAGAATTTCAGCCCACACCACCCAATTGGCACAGGCACTGCTTCTCTGGGTTGCCACCCTGAGAGAGGCCAGAAAGACATCTTCATGAAACGGGACCTTCTCGGTTGTGGCACCATCCCTACGGAATGGGCTCCTGGAGGAGATGTGGCTACCTCCTTTCCTCCTTTAAAAGGGTGTTAAAAACTAGGCTGTTTAAAGAAGCCTTTAGGGGGCATCCTTGGTTAAATGCTTTCCTAGATGGTTGACATCATCCTGCCATGGTTTGGGTTTTTGGCTAGTTCTAGGTATAGTTGTATTCTTTTCTCTTGATTTCTCAGCTATCGTCGTCCTCATCATCCTAGAACTGCAGAGCTGGAAGGCACCCTATGCATCATCACGTCCAGCCCCTGTCAAGGAGAACCAGTGGAAAACCAAATTCCCAGCCTCTTGATCTGCAGTCAGAGATCTAAACCACTGAGCTATCCAGCAGTCTATTTGATGATCTGGTATCTTCTG